GTTGTGATGGTGACTTATCCACCCTGTGGAGCCTGATGGGTGTCCAAGCACCCGCTGCAAGCTGAGGAAGGATGCTTAGCTGATTTGCTGCGGTATCAAGAAAAAAGTGACCGAGGCGAGGTCTGGGACAAGGGCCTGAGCCACCACTAAGTAACCAGCAGGTACCAAGGGCCATCATACGTTAACTAAGGTACAAAGGAGATGGGAAGAATGGGGCTTCACACAAGTAAGAGCAACTATTTTACAAATGCTGTTGGCATTTTTAAAGACATCTTAAGCAGAGAAAACTTTTCAAAATAAGGTATTTCAGCAAGACAGATTGTTTTAGGAGACTAGTCTGTGCTGAAGTCAGCGGATAGTTGAAGTACGTAAAAAAATGCCCTTCTGGTAACGTGGAGTCTTATTACCACTCCAGGTGAAAGGTGGGCTTCTTTGGTCTTCTTGAACACCAAGTGAGCAACATGAATATGCAAACACACAAACAAGCAAACATTAAAAAAACCAGCCTCTAAAAGATCCTCTCACTTCATACACATTCTCCACTAGGGAGGGAATAAGAGAGCAAATGACAAATAAGTTGGGTTAGTATGCTGTTAAGGCACTCCTGGAGGTGTTCAGGGGATGAGTGATGATCACTCCAGAGGAATCCTTGTAGAGAATGATGAACTTCGCTTTTTTCATACCGGTGCTTATGAAGGGGTAAGGAAACAGTATCTTCCATAAGCTCAAAGGCTCCATTTCTGCTCTAGCCTTTCTCAAAGTTCTCATTTTAAAAATAGGTTCATGCATATGTATTATACCTGATCCTTATTCTTTACATGTATACAGGGCATTAAAAATTTTGCAGTGGCCACAAATATTAAAAATATCTTGCCCCACAGTTTCTGGTTCTCCTCCCACCATACAAAAAGTATGTTCAAGCTGCGGTTGAAGCTGAGAAGTTTCCTTAGAGGAGGTATTTACTAGTAAAAAGTGAAAGTGGAAAATAAATGGAGGCTGAAGCGGCTCCTCTGACAGAATCTTATGCTCCACAGCTGTCACTTAGGAGAAGAAAGCAAGGAGAAGAAAGAAGAAGACAGCACACACATGTCCTTCACTATTTGGAGGGAAGAGTTACCTGAAATTTAAAGGTACCTCACCACTTGCATCTCTAAACTACAACTCCCCCGCCGGGTTTTTGCCATCCACTGAAATTCTCTCATCTAGTTCATCAACTGAGGACAACAGAAGATGACTGCTTGGTGGACAGCTCTCCCAGATGCACACACAGATGGGTCTGAGTGCCTGCAGACAAGCGCAGGGAGTGCAGCGTGCCTTCTGCCTCGTCCGGCCATGCGTTGGTGACAAACACCAAAAAGGCAGATGTGGCAGCTTCAGGAAAGCTTCTTCCAGGCATGGCTCCTCGTGTTAGGGATTCCCCCACACCTCATCATGAGACAGCAAATATTCACAAAGGGTTCCTCTCCAACAGAAAAGCCTTCACTGAACCAAGACCCCTCATGTAATGATTTTCACACCTCCTTTGATGAACAGGATTGCTCGGGCCAGGCACTACAGGAAGTTAGACATAGTCTTCATAGTTCTTCATAGTCTAAGTACTCCTAATAAAAGGAACATGGGAATTACACCACCAAACGTATGCTGGATCCTCTTGTGTCACACACTTATCATCCCGTTCAAATAAACTATCAAACAGCCCCAGCTGCTCTGCCCAGAAGGGATGGTGTACCGCCTGCACATTGTAGGAAAAAAACACTGGCTTGCTACGCAGCTGCTCAACACCTTGCCAAGGGCAGCAGGTGCTGCAGCAAACAACACAGGAAACGTTCAAATTTAAATACAGGTCCGCAAATATTTTGGGATCCACAATAACTCTCCATTTAGCCATGCTCAGGTATTTTTTTGGTCTTTCTTGGATTTCCTCATGCAGGAAATGCAACTTTTTGGGAAAGGAGTTCGCATAGGTTCTTCCCTTCCCCTTTCCAGGAGTACGCTGCAGAAGGTATTGTCCTCTGTGCACACAAGACATAGTCGTTGTTTCACTGAAATTACTCTGTCTCTTGCTCCAGCGATCTCAGATGAGTTAAAAGACTGCTTTGAAGCATCCCAAACAGCTTTAAAGGACTACTTGTTAGCAGTACAGAAGTTTATTACTAGGAACCACGTTGGCTTGTGCTGGGTGGTTGGCAGACACCAAGTTTAGTGTTACCGTCAGTTGTATGAAAGTTGTATGTAGGGTGGCAAAAACAGCCTGTTTGCTGTCTAAAGTAATTAGCAGTTACTTCACGCATACACCCACATGAATTATGTTAATGTTCCACACTTCAGTCAAAATAGCAGTTCAGTTCACTGCAGTCCTTCTTCACAGTTTGTGTTTCTATTATCCACATAACGTGGTTCAAAGCAGTGAAGTGGGGCAGCAGTAGTAAATAACCAGGGACACCAGCAGTCCTAGTAAAGCTACTCTGCCCAGTCCACCACCAAAAAGCAACCTGATTGGCCATTGCTAATTAAGTTAATTACTGCACCTCTTCAAAAGAGTTCTGGTGAGTTTACACTTCCCCACTTAAGGATTAGCAACACATTTTTGAAATTTAGACTTGACCCTCTAATCCCTTTCTGCTGAGGTATCCTGATGTTAAAAGAAGAGTGCCAATTCCTTCTTTGGGAAAGGCAATTTGATAACAGAAGTACCTCTGTTTCTTTATTATTGTTGTTGTTGTTGTTATTACTATTATTATTAGTGAAACCAGATATTCAGATTACAGTATTAGACAAGTTCTACAGCATATTCCTTACCGTGCCTACCACAAGTAAATTTTCTTTTCTGCTGTGTAAATCACCTCTGTAATTGGCCGCAATGAAGCTTTACAGCCAGATTTTTTTGCCTCTGCTGAATCACCTTTTGCCTCTGTTTTTGTAAATATTGAAAAGGTGCTGTAAATATTAAAATAAAAGGAAAGTTGCTGCAATCTTCCAAGGGATTGCATGGTATCCCTTCTCCCTATTTTTAAGGATGCCTGCAAGCTTTAACTGCGACACAGCTGGCTAAAGGGACAGCAAGGATGAGATGAGCTAAGGGTATGTACCCTGCAAGACTAAGGGTGCTGAGCTAATTTCCGCCAGCTGAGAGCTCTGCTGAGAACATCCGCTGTTTAGAAAGCACTGAAAGTAGAGGATTTAAGAATGACTTTGGCAATGCTCTTTGTGGTTTTTTTGATCAATGACACCCTTACACATTGCCACATATTCATCTTTTCCTAGAAATTAATTCTTTGCCTTGTCACCAGCTGCAAATTGCAGTAGCTTGAGTCATTGGCTAATAGATCCCAATTTTCTTTCTTGAACATATGGCAGTTGGACTTCTAAAGGAAATTGTCTGGAATGATTCATTATAAATACAAGCTTATCATTCTCACTAGAATGTAATTTACAATGAACATTTTAGTATCAGACACAAAGTAAATGCCTTGTTGTGTAGAGAAGTAAGAATGAGAAGTACACTGTTTTCCCAGATGCTCCATTAAAATAAGCATTAGTGTCAACAGCCCTTCCAACAGTAAAAAGCAAACATTATCAGCCTCATTTCGAGCACTTGCAGCTACAGCTGATGGTGTTTTTGAAAGCGGTCATGAGCACACCTTTACATGAGTCCTCGTAGCTGAGGTCTATGGTGCCCTGTCTCTCACATCTTGTCAGACATTGCTCAAAACACCTCAGTTTATGTAGACTGCCTATCAAAAATGCTGTTATACAGGAGTAATAATGATAGCACTTCAAAGAAATTATCGACATCTGTTACATCTTTTTGCAAGAAACAGAGGTTAAATTCATCCTCTTTGCAGAAGAAACAAAAAAAAGCATTAGCTATTTATGTGCTGCATAACACTACAAGTTCACAATCAGACTGGGTAATGGACTAAATCCAGACCTTATTCAAGTTTGCCATGACTTTCAAAAGAAAAGGATCACCCTGCACAATTTTTGGAAGCATAACTGGCTCAGATTTACAACAGTGGAAATAAGGACAGAATTTAAGTACTCTGGGTAAAATTAATACTTCTTCATAATGATTGCTGTTAATAAAAACTTCTAAGTACTTGCAAAGCATATGTAGGTCTATATTCATAAAAATCACTACACAGAAATAAGCCTGGCATGTGTTTCTATTTTTTTTTAGATTTCTTCTTTTTATGTTATATTAAGAAGGCATGAGTGCATGATTTTATTTTTTGAAAAGGGGAAGGAGGAGAGTAATATGCTGTAACTGCTGCGAATACCACCACAAGGACCCAGAAGCTGATCAGTCAGAGGAGGACTTCTACTGAATCTATTAAGCATTTCATTTGTGATGCCTGTTTAATTCAGTAGTGAATGACACCAGCTGAAATACATGGCAACCCACAGCTCTGGATATCTTTTTACCAGACAAACTTCATTAAGATGACCAAGAAATGCCTGAAAACAGAAAGCAAAACAGACACACACACAAAGAAATCTGATGCAAAATCCCAAAATCTGTAAATCCCCACTACCTTTGCAGTTAGTTAATGACGTGCAAGAGAACAGAAAGCCTGTTAAAAATGCTTTGTATGTTTGTCTTTCAAATAGCCCCACAGCTGCAAAAACCGCTGCTGTCCTCCCTTGTGATGATCCTAAATTTCAGTGGGTGGTCTGAGCAGCACAGCGATATAGACATGTCACGCTACAATGTGGCAGGGGATGAACAGAGCGCAGGGCTTTCTAATGACGATCAGCAGGGTACGTAAGTTCCTCTGCCTACATTTGGGAATAACCAAAAACGTCCTGAGGCATGCTCGCAGATGGAAACTTGGGTTGTCCCATCCACTCCTCCTGCCTGCAGCTTCCAGGCAGATGAAGTCATGACAACCCTCCTGCCCCCTGTAAAATGATGTATTCACTCAAAAATGACATAAAACTGAATCTGACCTGACTCTTCAGTCACACTTCACTTCTCCTCTGATGCTTTGGGCTCTTACCTGGTGCAGTTTTGTAAGACACGGTTCTGGTGGGCATGGGTGGTGCGCTCTTCATAATAGGGCTCGCCGCCACCTGCAGACCTTGCCGCTGCCTCTTCAGCTCCTCTTCTCGTTCCTGGGCAGCTCTGATCTCTTCTTCTATCATCGACAAAGTCCTCTGCTTCCTTGACCGTAACTTGAACGGGCCCACGGTCACTTCAGGTTCCTGTGTGGCCAGGATGGAGGCAGTGCTCCTCAGCTCAGCTGCCTCTGAATACTTGCTGAAATAGCTGACTTCGTGCCTATTTTCCTCCACAAGGAACTGCTGGCTGGCTGAGTACACGGGCGACTGCTGCAAACTCTTCCCTTCCCTTAGTCCTGAGTCTTCCTCTTGTGAAGTCTTTGGTATAGTGTCCCTTTTTTCTAGAACAGGTGAAGACACCTGAGGTGGCTCGAACATTGGGTTCTGCTGCTCCTTGGAGGCTGGAGCTGGCCCAGTGGCGGCTGGCTGCTCTTTGACCGAGATCTCCTTCTCCGCTGCGATTTCTTCTCCCTTGCAGTTTGCTTTATCTGCCTGCTCAGCTATGGCTTGTTGGATGGCGTTTTGAACCAGCAGGCCAGCATGGTACTCCAGCTGGTCGTCAATCAGCATGGAGCCTGGCAAAACCGAGGAGGGTGAGTCACAGCCCGGGTCGCTGAACGACTTGGAGATGCCTTCGCCCCTGCCCTCTGCCGGAGTGTCGGCCTGTGGGGTCTGTGGCAGGGAGAAATCGGCCAGTGAGCTTTCCTGCAGGGCGCTCATGGTCTCATTGGAGGCACCACTGTCGCTGATGTTATCCATGCTGAAGTCATTGGAAAGGGTCTCCAAGACGGTGGTGTCCTGAGACCTGACAGACAAGTCATCCAAACCAGAGTCGAGTTCCTCTGGAGGAGAAGAGGCGCTGGCTGACTTTGGGAACTGGTCTAGCATGCCCTGTCCATCATCCTTCACTACTGTGAAGACTGCTCTCGCACTCATGAATTCTCCATCCTCCGCCCACAGTTTCGAGGCCTGTCCAGCTCTGGGGCTATCACTGCACTGTAACTCTCTTACTGGGTCAGCAGTGCTAGTCTGAGCGTTTGTATCATCTTCTGAGGTACAGGAGACCTTCTGTGCTTTGACAATAGTGGCATTGTTACCCTCAAGCTGTCCTGTTTGCCCATACACTGAAACAGGTCTTGTCACGGAGGACAGTGGCCTGTCCACATGTGGAGAATTGAGGCTTTTGTAGAAGGGTTTGATGGAGAACATTTTGGGTGTTCCTGACCGCCTTGGTGGGGCTTGCCCCTGAGATGGACCTGAATGCTCCATCAGCTGGAACTGCTTTCTGGCAGCTGAGAAGTCAATTTGCTCTGTGACAATATCCTCTTTCTTGATGTTCACTGGCTCTGGAGGTATAAAGGAGCAACTGATCTGTTTGGGGGATGTTGGTGTCGCACCTTGCTGCTGCTGTCTCTCCTTGCGCTCCCTGTACTTCTTGTGGGACTCCAGATGCTCTTCATCCAGTTGATCCTCCAGGGTCTTCTCTTGGGGAGGGTTCCACCATTTGGCGGCAATGTTGGGGTTTTTCTTGACAGCCTGGCTTTTAATGAGTTCCCTTCTTTCCTTTTCAAGTTCCATCATTTCCTCTGATGGTCTTACTTTGCGGACCCTGTATTTTTCCTTCTCTTCTTCATCTTCAAAGAGCTTTGAGGGCTTTTTGTCTTCATGGAAGGCTCGTAGTTCAAACTTAGCCTCTTTCTTAAGGGTTGTAAGAGTTATTTCTCCATCCTTAGAGGATCTTCTAGAACTGTTTGAAGAAGTGGGACTTCCTGGCACCTTCAGACTTTCCCTAGTGTCTTCCTTCAATCCACTCAAGGAATGGCCATTAGATTTCAGGTTCTCATCTGTTATGCTAGCTTCACATGGTTCAACTACCAAGGGTGCCTGCTTGTCGGCTACATTTTCTTCCCTTTCACTGGGTACTGAATCATTAACAGATGCTCCTGAGCCATCCATAATGGAGACTGCACTTGGTTCAGGAGAGGATGTCCCATTAAAGGTATTATCTGCAGCAGAATCGCAGCAATTTGCCTCCAGCACTTCATCTAGGTATCTGATCTCTTTAGCAACTTCACTGTCCAGAGATTCATGTCTGTCCTTAAGTCCATTGTGGCTGGCAGCAGGGGAAAAGAAGTGGGTTGGATTGTCTATGGGATGTGGTGAAGCCACTGTGGTGATGCTTTTATGTTCAGAAACTGGAACTTCAATTTCCATTTTCTCTTCCTTTATAGCAAGCACAGTAGCTGGCTCCAAGAAATTGGCACAGTTTTGGTCTCTGTTTTTTCTCAACCTGATGTCATCCTCAGGGATTCTGGAAGATTTCTAAAATAAAAGAGAACAAAACTACGATGAAGTCCTAAAAAGCAACATTTTATTTTATGCAGAGTAAACACCATCTGGAAAGCAAATCCTAGCACTTCTTAAACTTGAGATTAAAGCAGCCCCTCAGGGTTTGGGAAGGCAAAGCAAATCATTAACACAAAAAACAGAAAGTTACCTTACCACAAGCTGGACAAGACACTAAACCAACAAACTTTCATTAAAGTATCTCCCAACTGCTTACCAACCTCACTTTGTCATTATTTCACGCCTGCGTCCTGGTTTGCCGCAAAAAATCAGCTTTGGATTTCCAGGTTATTAATGGCTTGGCAGTTCATGTTCTCCAAAGGTTTGCACATGCAGCATACAACACCTATCATCTTGGTATTTTAAAAATGCTTTCTGCACCTAAAGGAAATCTTATAATGCTTTTACAGATGAAAAGTATTACTGTCCCCATTTTGCAGAAACAGATCATAACATGCAGGAAGAGTAGGCGATTCATCCCAAGTTAGGAAAAAGGACATGGCAACATCAGGGATTGTTCATTTCTCAGTGGATCAATCCTGGTCATCAAACACAGGGTAGAATTACACAGTGCTGGAAAGAGACAGGGTCTTTCTTCAGCCCACACGGAAACCCACACGCAACTGGACCTGGGAGACAGGAAGCGTTTGCAACTCCCACGGCATGAAGACCACCACAAAGAGCATGACAGGGACCAGAGTCATGGTCTCCTCCCTCCCACTGCTTTGATCTGCAGTGCAGATGCACTGGATTCATATTTCTCCCTGATGTGTTGTCTCTGCTCTCAAGTAGGGTATTGAAAGAAACACTGTTTATGTTCTGGTATGGGCAGATTTTATCGATCAAGCAGCCTACTGAACTTCCCGTGAGTAAAGTCTGGAGGAACTTTTGATTAAGCTGGTAACATCTCAATGAATTTCTCAATAATTCTTTACTGCTGAAAGGCAAAAAAAGGAGGCACCAAAAGAAAAGAAGAGGGCATTTTCAACATTATTCTTCAAAGACAACTTGCTAACTCTTGCTAACTCTTCCTAACTCCTGAAAACCAAAAGTGACACATTATTCACTTTGACTAACATTTTAAAACAGAAACTTGATATCTGAGATCTCCGGCTCCTTTTCCACATGTGTTTCTATGCGTGAGGCACGGGCTTAGGAAGCAAATGGCACTGATCAAACCCTGTGAACTCAGTGGCCACCCAACAAGGGCACCGTTGTCTGTTGGTCACTCCCGCCCTTGGTGTCCCTTATCCTGCATGCTATTAATACACACTGCAGCAGAAGATGATCAGCTTGGAGCACAACGCAACTTAGCAGTCACCTGAACAATCACACTGCCTCTGGGTTTATATAGGCAGTAAAACGCATTTGACACACCTTAAGGACTCAGAGCCAGACAGCCAGGAGATCTCTCTTTCTAAAAGCACTTTGAAAGAGTTTTCTGTCTAATTATGTAGTTGTACACAGTTGAAGACAATATTGACTTCATCCATTAGATATTTTCTTCTTAATTTGCTTAACCATTGGGAAAAACCTTTAAAAAGAACCAGCCAACAAACCTACTTTTGTCTATGTATTTTACTTGACATACTTCACTGGTTTTACTTGTATTTCACTTTTTGTTGAGCCTAGAAATTCTCCAACTGAAGCTTCTAGCAGTGCTTTTCTTAAACAATATTACATTTTTCACCATTTAAACACCTAAATGTGGCCAGTTTCTTCTTTAGTCCTATTAAAGTTATATTCAAGAACAGAATAGCCAGTATAAAAAGTCCTTACTTTTTTGAGTGGGCACAGCAGG